GTAGCAGAAAGCAGAAGCTTTAAAATAAACTGCTTCAAATTCCCCCCCAAAGATATGTCAGTGTTGAAACTGCTTCTCATTTGAATGACCATTGTCTCTGTTGGACACACACTCCTCACCTGAACTGGGTCTCAGTTGTGCTGGACACTGCATCAGCTGTCAGGGGAGCTCTGCACTGTGAGAAGGGGGCTAAGTTTAGGATGGAAAACCCTTGTGATGACTGAAAATTTCATTGTATGGTCTGTGATACACCTACTTGTCACGGCTGAAAAAGTATTTACATTAAGAGATCTTTCCGATTATGCTACAAGAATGTCTGCTGCGTGAGGGCTTCTTTTTGCATCTTTAGGCAAAAAAAAAAAAAAAAAAAAAGGGGGGGAAGAAAAGTGGCTTCAATACTAGCAGAAAAGAAAGGGCCTTGTTTAATAATTTGAAGGGATTCTTTACCTGGCATTGCTTATTCAACTTTAATGCATTTAACTCAACACACTTCCCTGAAGGAGATGCTGAGTGTTCTGTGGAAGGGTGAAAAATTTAGGTTTTCCATTGAAGTGGAAGTAAAATAAAGAAGGTACAGCTTTAAAAATGCATATTTGTAGCCTTCTAATTTGTACTCTTTCCTTCTTATGTATACCACATTAGGTACCACATCAAGCTCTATTTCTATGAGACTGTCTATGAGAATGAACTCCTTGCTGCTAATAGGCACATGTTTCTGGCATATATTAACTCAGACCACATTGTGGAAATCAGTAAAAGTCTGGTAATTGGGAGTCATGCTTCCTACAACAGCTGTAACTAATTTTTCTTTCCTTCTTCCCTGTAGACTCTGTTTTAGGATGAGCATAATCTTACAGATGTAAAGAAAAAGTATAAAATGGCTACTCTGGGTACCACTGCAAAGTGACTTCAATGAATTTTGTACCTGTTAGGTGCTTCAGTTACCAGGCATTTCATTGAAAGGTTTTTTTAAATATGGGAAAGTAGCACCAGTGTGGAGATAGTGAACAAATCTGAGTGCAACAAAGTAGCATGGAATTACTAAGTGAATTAACTTCAAAAATAAGAAATGAATTGGTCCGAATCCACAAATACTCGGGAAGCAAAACACCTGTACTTTTTTCATCAGTTCTTTTTGAATGCAGAGCTGATACCAGAGCCTTTTTGCTTTGTCAGAATGACCACTGGCCTTTGTTCTGCTTTGCCTCCCCTCTGCATTGCTGCCACTGATCCCACCCTGCCTGTGCCCACCCGTGCTGCTCCTCCAGCCCATGTTTCTCCTTGCCCACGGCACTGCTGCCGGTGACAAAGGGACCCAAGCCTTCCTCCTGCAAAAACCAAAACTAACTGGCAGAAGAAATGGGCGAGACACATCAGACAGGGAACAAGGTCTGTTGCAACCTTCAGCCTTCCTTTTTGCCCCCGGGCTTTTGCTTTTCGGTGAGCATGATGTTCTCCTTTCTCCTCGCAATGGCTGTGAATTGTCCGCTGCTGTCCCTCCTGATGCTCCAGGCACCTTTGGGAATCCTGCTGCCTCTCGGGGCCCAGCAAGGACAGCAGCTCTGCAGACCAGAGCCCAGGCCCAGCTACAAGGAAGCAGCGGAAGGGATGGCACAGAGAGGGCAGGGATCTGAGGGAAGGTGCGGGTTTGGTGCTCCCTGGGAACTCAGGGAAGTGGCACGGCACACCCTGGGCTCTATCCCATGGCGATGGCTTCGAGGCCACAGAGGTTCTCCGATGGGAAGGTGCACCCCTGCCACCAGCTCCCCAGTGCATTCGAACCGTGTGCCCCGCTCTCGGTTTTCTAACTATTCTTTATTTCTCCCGGTCCCCTGTGCCAGCCCCTCACCCTCATCCATCACCGGGACGAGGCGCTGGGCACAGCACCGGAGCGCCTGGGCGGCCTCGCTCAGACAGACGCGCCGTCCCCGCCCCATCCCTCCCTCCCCACGACACCCAGCAGCCGGAGCCAGCCGCTCCCACCCCGCCAGCCCCTCGGCTGCCCCGGGCTGTCCCCGCGGCGCCCTTACCCGAGCGCCAGCAGCTCCCGCTCCAGCGGCGCGGCGGGACGCGGCTCCCGGCGCTGGGCCATGCTCGGCCGCTGCTCCGCGGCGCTGAGGAAGTGCGGCCCGGCACCTCCCCGGGCGGGGCCCGGCCCATCCCATCCCATCCCGCCCCGGCCCCACGGTGAGACCCCGGCCCTCGGCAGGAGCTGCCGGAGCCCCCCGGCTCCCAGCGGTGCCCGGCGTGGCTCCCATGCTGCTAACACACCTCGGTTTATCGCCAGAATAATTCATACCTCCCGTTGCTTTAACCAGTCCCTCCCAGAAGTTCGTATTCCAAAGCGTTTCGCTGTCCGCTCGTTTTATTCCTGCAATCCATCCATGAACGCCCCTCTCCTCTTCTGTGTCCGCCGAAGTGCTCAGCGAGCAAATCTGTGGAGGTGAAATTTGTGGATTATTCTATAAGTGTCAGGTGCCCAGTTCTGTCCCCAGCCAGCCCCCAGAGCCCGGGGGGCTGTGGCTTACAGCTTTCCATGGCCCTGCCGCTGGATTGCCTGGGAAGGGGAATGCTGCTTGCCCAGGGTCTGCCCCGGCACCCGGACCCGCCGATTTCCGTGGGGATCCTCTGTGCAGGCTTTGAAGAGGTCACGCTGTCTTTCTGAAACAGGAATAGGAACGTAAACTGCCAGAAATTTACCGCTTCATTCCCTCTTTGGAAGTATCAAGAGGACTGAGCTTTGTGGACGAGAAATTTCTGAGCATTATTTGGTGTCCGTTCTTTCTAATGCTTAAACAATCTCCTGCAATACTAGAGGTTATTGGTATTCCCTAATACTTCATGGACAGTAATTATAATAGGTGTGGCAGATTACTTACTGGTCTTTTTTGACAAAAGGACAGGATGCCACAAAAAAAAAAAAAAAGAAAAGACAGAATGCTCCTTTGCAGTCATAGTGAAGTTTTCACCACGTATCCAAGACTAAAAATCACCTGTTTCCAGAAAAGCTGGTATTTAGAGAGGATGGGACAGCTACTTATTTCCCCAAAAGTGGTCATATGAACTGCATGCTCAGTGTGGAGTTGAGAGTCATTTGGAACAGGATTTTTTAGCCTGCAGATCCTGCTGGTCTTGGGGAATCGGTTTTGAAAGAGCTTTTCTAGCCTCCTAAATGGGAAAATCTTCAGAGAGGTTCCCTGTGTCAGATCAGACTGTCCTTTGTTTGAGTTTCTAATTGTGGCTGCAAGGTGCTCTGCTTCTGTACTTACCTGTTCATGACGAGAGGCAGACATTCAGTTGTAGATAAAGATTTTGCAAATAAGCTGGGGGTTTGTTCCTTACTAGGAAAATGTAATTTTTTAGTGGGGAAAAGTACTTTTTTCCCTTTTCTGAGTTTTCCCCTTCCTCTATTGCTTGTTGAAAACTTGTGATCTGATACTCTTTTTGGTAACCTGACTCTGAAATCCACAACATTTGTTAAATAGATGCTTTGATGTCTCCATGGTTTGCTTATATTTGCTGGATAGATTTATTTATTATTGTTCTCCTGTTCTGTGTTTGATTTAACAGTGATGAACCCATTCTATGTTGTCTTGTCTGTTCTACTGATAGAGGTAGAAAAGCACCTATGAAAATTTCTTGGTTACAGAGGAAAAGGCACAGAAGGAAAAATTAATTAAATTCCAAGCAACAAAGAGCCACAACTAGATTTTACTAAATTCTACTTGTATCACAAATGGTCTTAAAAGTTCAGCAATGCAGGCTCAAAGGTGGTTTCCAGCCCTTGTGTCCATCACTGTGTTTTGTGCACCACTGTGCTGCGGTGGGAGGGAGTTCCCATCTGGGAGCAGACACTTCCTCTTACTCTGCACCTGACAGTGCAATGTTTCCTCTTCATTTGTAGAAAAAAAAAAATCTAAAAATAAATTTTAAAAAAGGCAGAAATTATACTCTCATGCAACAGAGACGGCCTTCCCCTTTAATGAAGTCCACTTGATTTTGGGTTTTTGGCACAGGTTAGCCACTGGACAGAGAGGCTGCAGATTGCCAGCTTGCACTTGCCCAAAGCCAGAACACTTCAGTGTCTGTGTTTTGGTCCTGTTCCCAAGCACGGGCATCCCTGTTGGAGGAGTGGTTCTGTGTGCAGGGTGGGTGCTGTGCAGAGCAGACCTGTAGATAGTAGCAGTGCTCTGGTGCCTGCAGCTCAGCCCGAGCCCTGCTGGCCACAGAGCACCCCCAAAGGACAGTTTGGCTCTCTACTCATCCCCTCACAGCTGTCAGCTAAAAACCAGAGTGGGATTCAATTAAAAAAACAATCTCTTCAAGTCTTTCTTGAATAACTGCACCATCTCACAGGAAACAAACACCAAACCCCTATTGTTTTAAATTTAGGTCGTGAAAACCAGAAGAACTACGGCTGTCAAAATGGGGAGGGTCAATAATGATCAATGCATGTGCAATTATTCCTTGTGTTGTGTCACACTAGGGTTATTCCAGAATGCCATATTTACCAGCAGACTTCAAAACCCAGTGAATCCTTTAGAGTGCAGCCACCAGGTCTCTCAGTCCAGCAGGTGCTTGCTTTTATGGTAGTGCTTTTGGAGACTGTGTGTTCTGTTTGGGCAGAAATTGTGGGATTGCTAGGTGAGCTCATATCATGTGTCCTGCAAGTGGTCAGGTCCCAGCATCATGATGGTTCTTCCAGATTTTTGAGTTATTATGCAGCAATTGTTTAAAACTGTTTCAAAGGTTTAATTTTTATTTTCAGGTAGCTCTAATTTTGTACTTTAAGATATACTAAATTAATAAAGGAGAATTTGGCTTAGATAGGCATGTGACTAATACATAGATATGATTGCTGCAAAAGCGTAATTAAATAACTCCAGTTACTTGACAGAACATGGCAGGAAGTAATTGAAAATTTAATTTTTTTCCTTTAACTATTTCACCTTCTAATAGCCTGAATAGATTACAGATAGCTGTGAACCATCCAAGCAAAGATGGTCAGTCACAAAGACAGTGATTTCACCAAAATGAAAGAAAAAAACCCCCAGAAATATCACAAAGCCATTGTTAACATGATTGGGATGAGGGGTAGGTTGGGATGGAGCACAGTGGGCATCTGCAGAGCACAGGTTTCCTACACAACAGAGAGATGGCCATTGATTTATTCCTTTTAAGGTGACTGCATCTGATGATTTTGGAGTGCCCAAGACATCTAATCCCTATTACCCTCAGGTATGACCCCATGGGATTCTGTGAAACCCCCTAAAGCAGCTACAGAAATCTTTCCACTGTGTTCAAACACAGGATGCACACTAACATCATCTTCTGAAATTAACCTGATTCTTCCCTTCTGAATGTGGTACAGATTGTCTTGGAATGTTTATTGGAAACAATTGTTATGCTGGAAAACACTTCAGATACTGGATATCAGCACAGTGATGAGTTTACTTTGTGGATTTTGAGGCACCTAGGGCATGTTTATTCAATGTGTTTCTAATGTCCACAGTCAGCATATTTCCAGAACATGCCAGCTAGCCCTGTGTTGGCTGCAATCTATTCAGACAGGAAACACAGAACAGTGGTGAGAAAAGGAATTTGAAATTACCCAGGTTCCATGGGGAAAATGGCTTGAAGACAGATTGTGCAAAGGGAAGGGTTGTTCTTGCCCCATTTTCTCCACAGTTTGGGTGGGGCAGGGCTTCTATAGCTAAAGATCACAGTAGTTGTGTTGCTGTCAGGGTTCATTCCCCAGACCTGGATTAGGAACATGTCTCCACCTAGGCACAGCAAGAGGTGCCACAGCCATGCCCTCCCAAGCCTTGTGGAGTTTCCTGCCAAGTAGGATAGGCCCAGCCATGTCCCAAAGGAATATAATTATGTATGGGATCCCAGAGATATTAATTTAATAATTCAGCTTTATAAGTCTCTTAACTCTGCCCCTAGTAAAAAAAAATAGCATTCTTCATACTCTTCACAATGTGACTTTTGGGACCAAACATAGTTATAATTTCTAAAATCGTGCACTTTCTCCTCTTGTTTGCTCTAGGAAATTCAGCTACTTCTCTAGGGCTAAGTGCAGGAGGATTTTTTTTTTCTGGTTTCTGAACTTAAACGGGGACACAGAAATAAGTACAGGAAGTTTCCCTTGATGCTTACTAATATTTTTCCTAGCCCTTGATTGCTGTGTGCATAACCAGGAGCTGGAGCATGTATATTTTGAGATGATGGTGGGAGATTAAATGCCTCTAGCTAGAACAGCTGTGTTATTGCACGTGGTTTGGTTTTCACAGTTTCAATAATGTGGATAATGATATGAAGGTTATGTGTTTCCACTTTGAGTCCTACAAGGAAAACTTTTTAGGAACTTTGTCAATCCACTCTTTAATGTGCCTGTGTGCTTGAAGCCTTCAACACGTTTTTCGTGTCCTCTTACACACAGCCAAAGTCTCTTTAGAACATCTCACTTTAGAGCAGTGTCATGCTCTCTGAATAGATGTTTTGCAAATGTTTTTCCTGTCCAGCCCAACCCCAAGAAATAAACCCAAACACCTAGAAATTATCTTTAAATTAGAGAATGTGGGTGTCAGTACACGTGAGGAGGTGGGGGAGAGCAGCTGTTGCTGCCAAAGGCCAGGGTGAGGGGCAGGGTTGGAGACAGGCAGCTCCTCTTGTGGGCCATGTGGTGCCTTGAGCCAAGTGGCCTGCTGGTGGTTCAGCCTCTTTCCAAGAGGAATCAGACCTGGCTGGCAAGTCTGTGCTCCGAGATTACCCAGTAACTAAAGATGTAGAGAGGAGGAGCCTCTCCAGACTCCAGGTGGGGAGCACCTTCAGGGCTGGAGACCTGAATGTCCCCATAATGTGTCCTGCAGCAGAGCCCAGGGTGCCAGCTCCACCTCTGTCCTGGCTCCCAGCTCCTCACAGACAGCATTACAGTACCCATGGCCAAGGCAGAGACTGCACCCAGAGCAGGACTGACCCCACACACACGGTGTCCCACATACAGGAAAAGTGATGGAGAGGCACCATATGGTTTTAGGCTTTGGTAAAAGTCTCATGAAAAGGTAGGCTTGGGTAAAAGTGTCATAAAATACAAAATGGAACTGTTTAAACTAAAGACAGGGTTAAGGGAAAAAAAGGCTGAGAACAGTCTTACTTGCTGTTTTGTAAATTTGTTGTGCACTTTTATTACAGCTCATAAATTGTTTTTTTTTATTATTTTTGCTTTTTGCAACTTTAAAGTTTATGTTCAAATAACATAAAATAAATAATAAATTATATATATTATAAATAACATATATAATAAATACAATAGCATATAATAATAATATAATATAATACAAATATATCTGTGCACTATCAAACTTGATAGCCCTGTCACCTTATGGAACTGTTTATGGATACAGGGGCAAGCTTTAGGAGTGATACCAAGACCTGAGTAGAAAGGAGCTCAGGAGAAAAAATCATTTTACCCAAGTAAAATTATGTTACGTCAGTAGCTCTGAAAACATTTGAATGTTGCATCATTTTGCATTTATGGCACTGCTGATGCATAAAGCAGGATACTGAGAATCTGGGTGAAAATGGGGATGCAGCTTGCTTTCTGAGAGCAATGGCTGCAATTACAGTGCCTTTTCCTTTGAGAGGGAGCATGGGTTAATATGTTAACATTATGTGAGCATAACATGTTAGGGTTATCCCAGAAGACATCTTGCTGAAATTACAGATGCCAGGCATTTTTCAGTGCCTTGTCAAAAGCACAGTTCACGGCCAGTTGCTAATTTAAAGATGTATATACCGTGCAGCAAGTCTTTTTTTTCCTAAAATGAATAAGAGCCTAACCTTAGGAAGGGTGCAGGAGCTTTATAACTAATATTTTGTGGACCCTAATTGGTCTCATGGGTATTCAATGCACTGCAAATGCCTGGTATGGATGGCTGCTGCTCCTACCAGCACATGGCATCAATGACCATTTGCAAGCCAGCAGCAGCTTCATATTCCATTCCATTCATGTTCAGGCACTTCAGTGACTTTAAAAACCAGCACTCTGTCACATTAACACCTAAGAGCAGCCTCCTGGCAGGGTCCAGGTTTTAGACAGAGATCCTCTCCAGAAGCCTGGTCTCTTACCTGAGATGTCTCTCTGGCCATGCTTGCAGGCATGATCTCTGCATGCCCATTTTGGGGTGATTGCAGTGGATCTCTCCTGCAATAGTGGGAGAGGTTGTGCATGTTGCTGTGTCCAGCACATTCTCCCTGCTCAAGGGGACGAGAGCATGTCCTCTGCTGGTTTTGGTGAGGGAAAAGCCGAGCTGGGGTCATCTGTGGAGGATTGTGAGAAAAGAGGAGAGAGCAGTAGATGCAGGCAACCATGCCATGCTTTCCTGCTGAGGAAAAGCACCAGGACTGTTGCCTTTTTTGTATTTTAACTGCAGATATTGTCTTCTCTTCTATTTTTTTTTCCCCAAGGCGAGTGCATTTGGCCAAGTAGCACAGTGGGGGGGGTATGAAAAAATCCTGCCTGACCACGCTGCTTTCCTTGCCTATAGCTATTTATTGTACCATGGAGCACAACAGCTGCACTGGGCAGCCACGTGACACACAGGTCTGGCCTGTGCCAGCATCTCAGCCCATCCAGCCCTCTTATTTATACTGTGACTTTCGTGGCAGCCATCTCACCCCACCTCACTGTTATAATTAGACCTTGAAAACCAGTTCAGATAAACATAACTCCAACATTAAAAATCTCCAAACTGATTGACATAAGCAGGTAGAGTAGTGAGGGGCTGGGGAGTTTGCTCAGATGTGTCCTTGTCACCATGATTTTGGCAGAGTAGGCGGGCTCTGGTTTGAATGAAATACAGCTCTCAGGTAGTGGTCTTTGTTTCTGTTACCTCAGAGCAGAGCAGGGTGCACTCCTGTTTAACTGCTGTAAAGTTGATATAGCTCAGGCCTTGTCAACACTGTGGGTGTGCTCCAAGTCCAGCCACTGATCTAATTTCACTGCAGATAGGCGAAACTAATCAAAGGACAGTTGTATCCTGCAGTACAGGTGCCTGAAATGCAAGCTGTAATTGAACAAAGAGAGAATTTTTGGATGACCCAAGAATGAACAAGTGAGGATTTTCCTGAGTTAAGATGAAGCATTAAGGAAATTGGGATTTGAGACACAAACTTGATACTGTAAAGAAAGTGGAGGAGGCTCTTAGAAATACGGGGCTTTTATTGTTATTATGGCCGGATTTGGTTTCAGGGGGTTAAGAATCTCCTCTTTGAACTCAGAAATTAAATTTGCATGTTTATTCAGTGTGTGAGTCAGCTTTCCTTCTCAGTTCTGACAGACTGTAAGTTTTAATACCTGGAACCAGAATTTGGGACCTCTTGTAGGCCACCTTTATTTCTTGACATTTCTCCAGTTTTTACATTTAGGGCATGCCATGGTTTGGAGGGGAACTGGGTTATGAGTGAGCTCACAGGAAATCCTAAGTTTGAAACATGAAATTCATAAGGTGCTAGTTCTCTACATCATTATTTTTATGAACATTAAAATTTAATTAACTTCTTTCTTTCTTTGAAAGGATTTGATAGTCCAGGAGTCTGTTTGCCAGAGCTGGAATAAACCAAAACTTTATGGTCTGTAATCTATTAGGAAGTGTAATTATGCACAAGGGTCAAAGCCCCCAACTTACATCCAGGAAATTTCAATTATTTAAACTACATTTCTTGTCTATAATAACCCAGATCTTAGCAGCCTTAAAAAAACATAGTGCTGGCCAAAGTATATATGCTATACCCACAGAAAGCATTTTACTAACTAGGGTAAAAATTAAATATTGCACAAACACAAAAAGCACAAGACCTTCATGTATAAATCAGGCTTCCCTGTCATATTTTTGCAGGGGTCAAAGGATTCCCCCTGGTAATCATCCTCACAGTCCTGAGGACCAGGTAAATTCACACTCTAAACATCCATCAAAGCAAAGGGGCTTTACTGCAGAGCTGCAGCACTTCACCACATGTATGCTGCTGTTTTACCTGGAACACACAGAACTGTGCCACCCGAGGGTTTCACAGCATGTGCCAGCGTCAGA